ACTGTACTTTGAAATCACACCTTGTATGGAATACCTGATGTTGCCGAAGCACACACAACACTGGCCTCTGAGTGGCTTTGCATCTTTAACCTCACCCGGGAAGGGAGGTGGGCGCAGCAGTGTGGTGTTGCTGCCTTGGGGCCTTTTTGATGTGCAAAGGACACTGTGGCTTGTGTCTGAGATGGTTTTTCGGAGTCACTTCTGTCCTAGCCAGCTGTGCCTGCCATCCCCCTGCCCTGCTGCCCGCTGGCTGCCTTCCAGCTTTGGAGGGGTCACCTTTACCTTCAGCCCCACAGGCATGAAGCAGCCCTGACAGGACAATGAGGCGTGAGGTCACGAGTCTGTGTACTCAGGAAATCCTGCCCATGGGGGTGGTGTCTCAGCCGGTCAGCCTGAGAGGGACAAGGGCTGAGATAATAAAGACCTGGTGACTCCTTCCCCTTTGGTCCCTTTTGTGGCTCCTTCTGGCTTCTGCCTGAAGTTCATACCATTTCCCTTTTTGGCTAGGTCTCACAGAAACGTTCCCTTCCCACTGCTCTCGGCTCCCTAGCTTCCTTCTCTGTCTAGCTCAGCGGCTTGTGGTGGGGGCGACTGTTAACAGCACGGTCTGTTTTCAAATGAAAACGGGTGTGAAAGTTCAACATAGGAAACAAACTGAATGGGCGCTACTTGGACTAAGTTGCTTTCAAGTCAGCTTCCAGTCCCAACGACCCTGTTCTCCATAGCTCTGTTTCTCTCTATCTTGCTACCTTTGGCCCTTTGATCAGCACGGCCTGGCCCTAACACCTACCTGCATCCTGAGTTCCCCAAGGGTCCTTACTCCCAGCTTTAAGCAATGTTAGTCTGGTGGTGCTTATGGGAAGATGCTCTGGAGAGAAGCTGGAGTCCTTGGGGTCGAGGGCTTTGGAGTCCCACAGACTGGGTAGAGCTGCACTGGCCAAGTCTTGCAGTGTTATAGGAAGTGTGTAAGGATTAACTCATTTCACTCTTGCAGTCATCTTGTGACAGGATGTATGACCTTATGTTCTAGTTAGCAGAAAGGATGCGTGGATGTGCTCAGGGTAATGCTAACAACAGCTAGGAAGCAGCTACTGGGATTCAAAGCCAGGCACCTTCCTTAAGGCTCCGTACACTCAGCAAGATGCCAGTATCTGGGGTCAGCTTCCTTGTAGCTTAGGAACCTGCATCTGATGATGTGGTTTCAGGGAGGACAGTTTGCTAAAGAGCTGTGTTACTCTACCTCTGGCAACATCTTCGGCTTTCTCCAGTTCCTCACTTAGGGGAATGATGAGAAGGGTTACAATTCAGTATTTTTATGTGTGATTTTTTTTTTAAAAAGGGGCATATATGTTTTGTGTGTTTAAAAATCAAGTGGGCATATAGTTCACTTCAAAGGACCTACTGGAAACCTAATCATACAGCTCATCCACACTTGAACAGCAAGTTACAAGAGCAGAGCTGACCAATGAATTTGTGGGCATTGTGTAAATCAAAATAGGTGTCCCTATTTTTTTTCTTTCTTTCTTTTTTTTTTGTCTTTTTGAGACAGGGGCTCCCTATGCAATTCAGGCTGGCCTTGAGCTAGCTCACTTTGTAGCCCAGGTTGGTCTTGAACTCTCAATGATGCTCCTGCCTCAGCTTCCCAAGTACTGGGATTATCTTCTTTTTAAATAAGGTATCTTGTTGTGTACACTATTCTGCATCTTGCATCTTGCTTCTTGATTTTTATTTTTTACTTAATATAACTTAGGTCTTTTCGTATGATTAGTCAGAGTACTTCTTCAGCCCTTTTTTCAGTGATTGCATAGACTTCCATGGTATGGATGAATGAGTTTTTAAATCAGCACATTACCTTTGTTAGTTCCTGTATTTTGCTGCAGTGACCCTGTCTTAACAACATGCTCAGACAGAAGAAATAAGACCGGGTTTTGTAAGGGTCAGGACAGTACAATTCACTGGACAGTAGAATCTTGACTTAAATGATCGGCTGTGTCTTTTCTGTTCAGATAATTGTATATAACGATACTTACTGGAGGTTACAATACCTATGAAACTTGGGATTTGACAAAGGACAAGTGTATGATTCTCCTACTGAGCCTAGTTAGAATCCATTGCATTTAAATATGTATGGCAGGTTCCCAACTTTGTGTATGGTTCCTCTTTCCGTTCTTTATTCTTACCCATCATCCAGTCATCCCTCATATAGCAGCTTCCAGCACCTGAGAACTTTTGCTCAGGCTTTGTCTCCACAGTTGCAATAAGTCCACCGTTAGCTCTTTCAGTTTCTGCCCCGCCAGCAGCTGATTTCAGCTAATAATGTGTTGCCTTCCTGCCATGCTCTGTGGCTTGCTGCAGCCCTGGCCTTTGCCCTCACTAGACGGTGCAGCCTCCTTGGCCCTGCGTGGTAGAGAGGGAGGAGACCTAATGGATTCCTCAAATGACCAGCAGCGTGGTGCTCCCTGCGTGCTCCTCTGAGTGTCCCAGGACACTCACCACTTGTTTAACCAGCGCAGCTCTCTGTCACTGTTATCACACCAGTATCAAGTTCTTCTTGTTGCTCCAGGAAATGATCCTCATTTTTGATCTTGAAAGTCTCCCTTTTTCCCTGACCTCTTTCTCTCTCCCTCACACGTGTACCATCTTCAGGAGCAGCATGCTGTTTCCCAAGGCCGGATTCCTCAGGGCACCAATTCCACTTGGCAGAATTTTTTTTTTTAAGAGTAGAATATATTTATTGAGGGAAAGAAAGCTTCTGTCCAAGAGAGGGACAGAAGGGGGTTCCGAGTGACTCTGGCTTTTCTAGGGACTTACAGAGCAAAACCACGAGGTGAGGCGGGTCCAAGGTAGGGGAAAAATGGGAAATCTTAAGGTGGGCATAAGGTGGGACAAAACTATGGTCAGCCAATAAGAATTGTTTAGGTAAAATTGATTCAACTGGGATCAAATGGGGAAGCGAATCATGTAGCAAGTGGGCATGAATACAGAACAGGGGCTTTTCCTGTAAGGAGTTGAGTCAGCGACTCTTTAAGGTGATTGCTACCTATTTAGAATATCAATCCCTGATGTCCCTCTCTAGGGAGGTATGTGGGTGTATTTGTTTAATCTTTTGTCGTGGGGTCACTTTGCAGAATTTGATACTAAAACTACATTAGTCCCTCAGCATCCCGAGGACCTAAGATAACTTCTGGAAGCTCAGCCCTAAAAACTGCTTTTAGGACGTGTTTTTCTACTTTCTCGTGAGCTGAGCTTCTTCACCTATACTTTTGAGACTTCGCAGTTTTGGGAGGTATTTCTTCTCTTGTGGTCAGCAGCAGACTTCTTTCCTCTTCCTGTCTGAAAGCCTCCGTCCATGGAGTGCTGCTCACTAGGTTACTCCTCTGTATCGCAGAGATGCTTCTGGCCTTGGCCAGCTGCCCTCAGCCCAGTCACTTTTGTTGAAAGCTTCCCCATCGTTGATGAGAGATGCCCACATCCGGGAACCCCGTAGAATGCGATGCGTTGGTAGAAGTTGAATCTTAAAATGAAGCATCCAGCACCTGACATTTTCTGCTGTGGGAAAGGGAAGTTATTTTCCTTGTTCAGTGTATGATTGCAGCTCTCCCGGGCTGTTTCTGGAAATTTAAATCTTGAGTGTTTCTCTCTTCTCTCTCCATGTCCTTGTGCCCGTTCTCTGCACATTAACGCTATCTCGCTCGCCCTCCTGTTTATCCTTCAGGAGTGAACATGTGTGAGCATGTCTTCAGGGAAGTTCATACCCAGCAAGGGTCGTCCGAAGCTCCAGCGTTTGCTCCTTGAAAACCATAGTTGGTGTGATGAGCAAACAATGTCATTTGAAGTTACAAAGCGTTTGCTCTTCGGGGAGCCAGTTATTCCTGCTTTTAGTGCTCTTATCTTGTTGGGATTAAATTAAAAATGGAGCAACAGTGATAATCCGAGTCTGTCATAGGGACGAGAGATTTGAGGGCCGTCATTCCTACTTTTTCATTTAATATCACCAGTGCTTAAGACTTTTTGAAATTACCTTATGGGTATTTTTTGTGCTTTGCTATACAAACCCCATGACAGCAGAGACCTTGTCTGTCCTGTTCACCTTTGTGTTTTTGGTGCTGGGATCTTGTGTGTGACTACTCAGCAAATGTCTGTTGCCTGGATAAACAGACTCTCTCTGTTCCCTTTGCCGCAGTCTCCTTTGACCCTGCCTCAGTCTGCCTGGGATGGAGTAAGATTGCCTACACTGTAACACCAAGCTGAATTCAAGTCTTGGTTTCTCTGATGGGTTTGGAGCAGAGATGGGGCAGGGCATAGGAAAAGATGTTGAAATTGTGGAGGGTCTGTGTTCACTTCCTGGCTCTGCCACGACCTCTGTGGGGAATTTCTTGGATCTTTCATTTCTTTATCTGTGCCGGAGTCATCATGGTACTCTCAGACACAGACACTTGAAATCCTTGGTTGGAGAATGTATGAGAAATGTATTTTAACATAAAGTGGTTTGTAAATGTGGAAAATTGCACAATAGTATTCTTTCTCTTCTTTTCCTTCCTTTCTTTTCTTTTCCTTCCCTCCTTCCTTTTTCTTTTTCTTTCTTCTCTCTCTCCCTTTTTTTTTCTTTCAATTTCTCTTTATTTCTTTCCTCCTTCTCCTTCGCCTCCTCATCCTTCTCCTTTTTTTGTGTGTTTGTTTTGTTTCTGCTTTACACAAAACCAAGTGCACTGGCCTGGCTCAGCCGATTGCGTTAGGTTACTATTTCCTGTGGCTGTCCCGGTCAGGCGGCACATCAGCAGGGTGAGTTAAGTAGCACATCTTCTAGGATTTCCTTTGCTGTGATGACACTGGGATGGAGGGTATTACCAGGGTTTAGGAAAGAAGGCTTCCTCTTTCAGCCTGGCCTCAGCCCCTGTGCCGCTGACAAGCACATTGCCATTGCCCTGTCCTGCCCTGGGGCACTGGTCACCAGGAGCTGAGCTACTAAGGGCTGTTTGACAGTGTTTGTCTCTCCCTAGGCGGCTGCTGAAGAGTGAGCTTGGATCATTCATCACAGACTATTTCCAGGTAAGCAGGGTGGGTCTGAGCATCTGTTATTTCATGCATGTGAGTGTTTGTACTCAAAGGGACGGTGAGACTGAACACAGGATGGTCCTGCAACCCCCATGGTGATACATCTCTAGTGTCATCTACCTAGTGCTAAGCGGTGCAGGGCAGCAGCTACAGAGGGGACCAGGCAAGTGGATCCCTGCGGTGAGCGGAGATGATGGTCCCCCACGCGGTAGTTTGGGTTTGCAGTCCCAGGACCCCTTTCTGCTCTTAAAAATTACTGCTTATTTTTTGGGTTACGTCATCTGCTTTTATGATAGCATTAGAAATTAAGCCCAAGAAGTTTTAACTATATCTCAATTCATTTAAATAATAAGCCTACATAAATAACCTTTTATGAAAAATAACTTTTTCTGAATTAAAAAACATAGTAAGAAGAGCGGCATCATTTTATGTGTTTGCAAACCTCTGTGCATAGAAGCACAGACAGCTGGATTCTCCTGTCTGCCTCACATTCAGTCTGTTCTGGCTTTGCACATCACTGAGTCTCTGGAAAACTCCACTGTGCAGACCGAGAGAAGGGAGAGAAAGGCAAAAGCAGCTCAGTATTACTGAGAAAATGGTTTTGACCGTGTGGGTCCCTCAAGAGGGCCTGGGGGATGCCCCCGAGGGAACCACACTTAGCGAGCTGATCTCTAAGGACATTCCCTCCCACCCCTTTGATGGTATTTAATTGGTGTGAGTTATGTGCCTGCTAGCCGGGTTATTTCTCGTCATGAAGCCTCCTGGTCTGTTTTGTTAAAGATAAAATTGGATCAGAAGATCTAACCTCCCTCCTGCCTACGCGCTATTGTTACACAGCTAATGAGTTCAAGGTTTCCAGTCCCCTTAAAGGACACGCTAATCCACAGGCACAAGCTGTTTTTCTGAGTCTAATGAGAGGGCTGGGGGAGGTGTCGGATGACCAGGAGTAACCAAACAGGGTGACATTTTAGAGAAGTTAGGGTCTCCACTTTTCACTCATTTGTTGAGCCGTCTCAGGCATGCTGCCTCTATTCCCATGCTTTAGGTTTTTCACCTATAAAATGGGAACAGAAACACAGCTTACCTTACAGGTACACTGTATGCCATTGAAATAACACACCTACTGTGTGGCGATAGCATAGTTAGTGATCAAGATCACGGTCCTTCAAGGTAGACTAGTTAGGTTCAGTGCCCAATGTCGCCCTTTCTGAGTTGTGTCACCCTAAATAAGTTGCTTTATTTCTCTGTGTAAAACAGGGGTAATAGGACCCAGCCTTAGAGGGTTGTTGTGAGGACAAAGTTATTAATAAAGTGCTTAGTGACCAGCAGAGTAAGAGAGAGTAATGGTATTATTAAATTTGTGTGGGTGCCCCCATGTTAGTCCATGGTGTGATCCATCCCTTTGAATGATAAAGTAATATAAAAACGCATAAGATCTTGGGTTTGGGTTCATGATATGATTTTGTGTCCAAGTAGAGCATATATTTAAGACACTTTAAAGAGATTGTAGGTTTAAAAACCCTATAGGCATTCTCTTATTGTTTTTCTTCCTAGATTCAGGAAGTGTAAAGTTGTGTGTGCATTTTAAAACAATGATAAAAGTCATACACACACACACACACACACACACCAGAAAATGGCTCTTCAAAATTGAATGATGAGACCCAACAGAAGCCTGGACTTCACTCAGGTCCTTTGTCTCCACTGTTGGAAAACAGCTTCTGTTTAAGGAGAGAGACGCATCAGGATGAGGAAAGAGACAATTAGTCACAAGTGTGAATCATTTCAGTTGCCCTGGCCTCAAAGGCCAGTCTCAGCCTTCTGCTCCTCCCTTGCTGTCTCTAGTGATGGATTTCAAAGCCAGCCCCAGAGAACTGGTTTTTCAATCAGTCCTGGAGAAACCTGCTGGGCCGTGCTGCCTTCCTCCTTGACCTTTGAAACAGACAGGGGGCCGTGTGGTTTTCAATCAGGTTTTAAATGTCAGTTGTTTCTTGGGGGTTGGAGGGGCCTTTGGGTGGGGACTTGTTGATCCGGAGCCTTGGTGTTTTCAGAGGCGGTTAATACTGCTTATAGAGCATGCCAGATACTTATAAACTAATAACCACTTGTCATCTCTTATCAGGAGCATCAGAGGAACTGCTGGGTGAAATGTCAGGTCTCTCCGGGGGTGGAGGTGGGGACCAGTTTTCAGAATTTTGAGTCTGAGGTTTTCTTTATTTGAGGTGCTAGACTGGAAAGAAGGCGCTCCTAGACAGTGTTTTCTGAAATGTAGGACTTTTTAAAAGACTCCTGTGGGTGCAGAGCATTTGTGGTCATTTAAATCTTTGGTTCCCCGCTGTTTGTAAGTGTATAGTAGATTGTTAGGAGTGGCAGGGATCAGCCACCGAAGATACCTGAAATGATTTTAGGTGACACATACAGTGACATTAAATAACATTAAAGCTTGTGGTTAGAAACCCTGGCCCTGTTTTACTTTTCCTTTAGCCAGAAAGGGTGTTGGGCTTTGCCACTGTCTTTCACACATCTCCAGGAGTTGGCAGTCTCCCTTGTTTCGGGAAGGGGGGCGGTGGGCCTTGAACTTGGTGTCTTCAGCTAGGGATGTTCTAGTTAGGATTTTGTAACTGTATTTTGCCAGGGCTGTGTTGATCATTGAATGACATTCTATGCACGGCAACCGATGTCACTAGCATTTCCTTTTTAAATGTAGTGATGTTTCATTTTAATTTTTATTTCAATTTTGTTTTTAAAAAGAATGCACTGGTATATGTTTGTGATACAGACATTTGCCTTGGGGTAATGCTAATATATTACCTCTTGATCTTTTTTTTGCTCTTGATCGTTTTTTTTGCTCACACCCTCTTTCCTTGATCTCCCTTCCTGGTTTTAGAGTCCATCTCCCTGTTTCTTAGCATGGCTCTTTTATTTTGCTATTTAATTATTGATACCGGGTCTCTCATGTTGGAGAAACCATGTGATATTGCACCTCCTGTGTCTAACTTGCATGTTGCACAAAGTGGTTTGATTTAAGAAGGATAGTATGCAAAGAATGACAGAGTAGGTGGCCCTGGCTATGGCTCCAGCTGAGAAGGTAGTTTCCGGTTTAGAAAGCCTGGCTGCAGGCACTCCTTGAGAAGTTGGTTCCAAAGCCACTGCCTCTGCAGAAGAAACCTTCACACCAGGTGGGAAATTTAGGCCCACGGAGGCAAGCTTACCTTCCCATCCAGCTACTGATCCTAGTTTCAGGAAGGAAAAACAAGGGATTCCAGAAAGTTTGTTCCCTCTGCCAGGGATCGGGAGAAAGCTATAGGACAGATGAACAGAACCCAGGAGTTCTCAGGGCAGTCACCGAAAGCAGGGATGCAGTTCCTGGGAAGGGTGAAGAGCCCGCTCCTTGGGGTGCTGGGCTCCTGAGAACGAGACTCAGACAGCCATCCCCGGGCACCTGCATTCAGTAGTGTGGTCTGCCAGCTCTGGGGCCCCATCCCCCAACTCAGCTCAGCAAGGCAGAGCTGGCTCTGAAGTTCTGCTTTTGCAAGTGAGCATGTTCATTTTACAGCTTTAAAGAAAGATTTGCAGAAAGAAGATTCCCTGTGGAGAATAATGAAAATGGCCCGAGGCAAGGGTAAGAAAAAGCAGGTAGAAGCACAATGCTTATCTTGGGTCTGCACACAGAGAAGACAGGCTGTTTGATCTGCAGAAGCCTGGATAGATTTCCATGAGGCACTGGCCGGAAAAATCTCTGACATTTCCAGTATTGATTTTTTCCTTTGCCCTCTGTCTGTTTTGAATTGTGCCCAGAAGTAAAATTGGGATTTCCAAGAGGAAATCACTCTATATCCTAGTGACAGCTCTGAGGGATAATTGGTTCCTTATAACTTTTTGAAACCGATGATATGAAATGTTCTGCATTTTTTATTACCTACTTGGACATCTTGGTAGTTCAGGGCATCGGAGAGGATGGAGTTTACATATAGCGCTTCCTGACATTCTGCATTTATAAGCTGTAAAGTTAGTTAAAAGCCTTTCCCCAGACCCAAAGCATTTCATGCCTTTTGTTGGAACTAGAGTTTTGCTTTATATAGAAACTAGGCTGTGAGTGGGTTAGTACTAGGAAGAGTCATGCATGCCTGATAGTGTTTGACATATATGTACATGTGTTTGTGTACTCGTGTGCATACATATGTATCTCTGTGTGTGTGTATTTTTTCCCACTTGCTGCTTGTATCTGCAAGGGTGCCAGAGGCCATGTTTCCCTGCATCATTACCAGAGAGAGTTAGGGCTAATGGCACATGGCAGGCAGCTGAAGGAGGGGACCCACGTGAAGGGTCCTGCTCACTGTGGAGTTCACACTGAAGACAATGCAGGGATATAGATGCACCTACACATCTACACACACAAGGTAACGCAAGTATAGCATTAGCTGGGGACCTGGGTGAATGGACCAGAATAAATAAATATACATCATCAGGACAAAGATAACACTTGTTAAGAAGCCAGGGCAAGTGAGATGGAGAGAGAAGAAAGTGATGGAAATAATTTGTGAGTTCCAAATCCTAACTCAATAGGGGAGAAAAGCTTTGGCTCTTCTTTGATCGGCTCAGGAAGCATCTATAATGAGCAGGATTCCCAAAGTGGAAAAAGAAGAGAGAGAACTCGGTGGTCAGCAGGGAGTAGGGGAAGTGCCATATGTACTCTGCTTTGAAGGCAAAATGGAGACCAGAGTGACAGAGGGGCTTTGAACACATGGAGCTGGGCTTTGTTGAGAAGCAAGGGACAGGGATGGGGCAGGGACAGGGACAGGGCGAGGATTATGTTTTAGGTGAGAAGGTCATTAGATTGGCATGGTGGGCTTGGCCAGTACTTGTAAAAAGGCCTGGCAGAGATTGTACAAACAAGGAAGGTGGGTCTAGAAGTTCCGCTGACCACTCAGGGGAGGGAGCGGGGTGGGCCAGCGGAGGGCTGAGCACGTGTCTCTAGGTGGCTTCCACCCTCC